TTAGTTTTTCCATATTTCTTGTATAATACTTTTATGTGAAAGAAATATTGCAAAAAATTTCTGTACCCTTTTTGTTTTATCAGTTTTCTTCATATTTTGAGGATCTTATATTGCATAATAAAACAAGCTTGATAATTTCGTTGATTTACTTTGTTGGTTTCTCTGTCATTCTTATGTATTATTCTAAAATATATATAAAGATTCTAGGATTGGATAATTGTGCTGATACGTTGGTGGGAGATGAAATGCTTAAAGGCATATCTGGAGGCCAGAAAAAGCGGCTTACTACCGGTACTTACCTTCACATGCTTTGATGGAGCTCAATATGGAGCTGTACAAAATTTTCAGCTCAAGTTACTAACACAAAAATATGGGCAGCCGAACTGCTTATGGGTGCTTCGAGGGTATTTATCTTGGATGAAATATCAACGGGATTAGATAGCTCAACCACCCATCAAATTATCAAATATCTGCGGCACACATCGCATGCTCTTGACTGCACAACACTAGTGTCTCTCTTGCAACCAGATCCTGAGACTTATGATATGTTTGATGACATAATTCTTTTTAGCGAGGGCCAAATTGTTTATCAGGGCCCTCGAGAATCTGCAGTGGAATTCTTTTCATCAATGGGTTTCAAGTGTCCTTCCAGAAAAAATGTTGCTGACTTTCTACAAGAGGTACTCAACTGGAGCTCAAATACAAGAAATGTGATGCTCTTATTTAGTTTTTATTTTGTGAGAAATAACTTACCTCTTGAAGGCTCACTCTTAGGTAATATCTGAAAAGGATCAAGAGCAGTATTGGTTCTTTGATGATCAATACAGCTATGTACCTGTGGCAAAGTTTGTAGAAGGTTTCCAATCCTTTCGTGTAGGCAATTTTTTGAAACAGGAGTTGGCCATTCCATTCGATAAAAGATACAGTCATCCGGCTGCACTGTCTAACAAGACTTATGGAATAACAAGGGCGAAGCTTCTGGGGATTAGTTTATCCTGGCAGATTTTACTACTGAGGCGAAATTCCCCTGTGTTTATTTTCAAATTTATTCAGGTAACTAATTTTTCAATTCTCAGCCAATGGCTCAACACGATATTAGCTTATTACCTGCCGTCGGAGACTATCTAGATTCTTAGTAGTTAAGTAAGATTAAATTTCATTTTCAGCTGCTCCTAATTATTTTGATCATGATGAGTGTGTTCTTCCGGACGACAATGCACCACAATACGCTTGATGATGGAGGAATTTACCTTGGTGCACTATACTTTGCGATAGTTATGATTCTTTTTAATGGATTTATGGAGGTCCCAATGTTGATAGCCAAGCTTCCTGTTCTTTACAAGCACAGAGACTTACGTTTCTACCCCTGCTGGGTCTACACTTTGCCATCGTGGCTTTTGAGCATTCCGCTTTCCCTTGTCGAGTCCTTTTTATGGGTGGCAGTTACATATTATGTCGTTGGATTTGATTCTCAAATAACTAGGTACTTTTATACGGTTTCGATTTTCAATGTGTTCCTCCTGTCCTTTTCTTTTTTCCTTTTCCTTTCCCCCTTGAATTCAGGGACAGATGTAATTAATTCTTACTTATTTATATTCTACAGATGCCTCCAGCAGTTCTTGTTATATTTCACTTTGCACCAGATGTCAATAGGTCTTTTCCGTGTGATGGCATCACTCGGGAGAAATATGGTAGTTGCTAATACGTTTGGATCTTTCGCAATGCTTGTCGTCATGGTCTTAGGAGGATTTATACTATCGAGAGGTTATTAGCCATTTAAATACTTAGCAATTTTACTTTCTTAAAATGTTTGCTCAATCATTCTACTATATGTGGACTTATTGATCCGGACAGATAGCATCCCAGTTTGGTGGATTTGGGGTTACTGGTTCTCTCCCATGATGTATGCCCAAAGTGCAGCTTCAGTAAATGAATTTCTTGGCCATTCCTGGGATAAGGTAATCTCATTTTTGGGACGTCTCATCTATACTTTTATTTTATAAAGATGCGAATTCATGTATTTTGCTCAGAGTTTCTCCAATTTGGCGATGATATGAATATCATTATACGAAAAGTATTTATATTTTATGCTCCTGAGTTAACGCTATCTATAACATTTTGAAACATAACCAATATTTACTGCCACATACTGCGCCCCTTGGCTTCTAGGAATCTGTCAATTTTATTCACCTCAACGTTTACAATAAAACAGTAGACAATGGATAAAATGTTATCTCCGCCAAACCATATATTGTCTATAACTCGACTACAGTGAAATCCATTATCTTCTATTCCTATCTTGGTGACAGAAAGCTGATAACAACACTACTTTGTCTTTGGGAGAAATGTTGCTGAGGGTCCGCAGTTTATTTCCAAGCCAATATTGGTATTGGATAGGTGTTGGAGCATTACTGGGATATACTTTCTTGTTCAACACCCTCTTCACTTTGTTTCTCACTTACCTAAACCGTACGTTCCCTTCCCGTAATATCTCATGTATATGTTCTTGACATCTTGTAGATTCGAGAAAGCTCCAACATATGAGTTTGAATTTTGAATGAGTTTACCTAAAATGACATTGGAATGGCAGCTAGACATCTATAGATATAATATCCGTCGGGAACTTAAGAGGACAAATGACCTATTACTAAAACTGCATAAAATATAATTGTCAATCACCCGGCTACTTTTCTCTGCAGTTTCTTAACAAATCAATTTTGAACTCTAATGATATGGTTCTAAATTGGTGAGCAGCACTAGGGAAACAGCAAGCTGTCATTCCGTCAGAGAACTGTCATGTAAAAGACAAAGGACAAGACAGCGAGGCTTGCGTCATTTCTTTTGGAGAGTTTCTGGAACACTCACACTCATTTACAGGTTTGTGAATGGACTTAGATCCTTTATTTGTTTATTTATTCAAAGAGTTTTCCGCAACATTCAATTGTTGTCAAAGACATACAAGTTGTGTATACAATTTCAATCTGGCTAGGCCAAGCAAGCAAATTCTTTTTATGGCTAGTAAACTATGAGCCCATCCCATGGATTGGCCTGGACTTTGACACCTCTGTTGTCATGTAATGTATCTGTATCTGGATTTGGCTATGTGGCCTTAACATTATATTCTAATTTCATGACAGGAAAGTGTTATAGGAAACACAGGGGAATGGTTCTCCCTTTTGAACCTCTTTCCATGTGTTTCAGCAACATCAGCTATTATGTAGATGTTCCCCAGGTACATTAATTTAACAATATGAGCTCTTGGTTGAAAATTGTATTGGTGAGGTATTTATATCTATCCTTGGCTTTCCCATGTCTCAGGAACTGAAGGGGCAGGGCTTACAAGAGGACAGATTGCAGCTACTTGTTAATGTAACTGGAGCATTTCAGCCTGGTGTGCTTACTGCATTAATTGGTGTTAGTGGTGCTGGGAAAACTACCCTCATGGATGTTTTAGCTGGTAGGAAAACAGGCGGGCATATTGAAGGCAGCATCTATATATCTGGGTATCCCAAGAATCAAGAAACATTTGCAAGGGTTTCTGGCTACTGTGAACAGAATGATGTTCATTCCCCTTGTCTGACTGTGCGTGAATCGCTCGTGTACTCTGCTTGGCTCCGGCTATCCTCTCAGTGTGACTTTGCTACACAGAGAGTAATTTTTCTCTTATTCTTCTTGTTAAATTAAGAAAATTATCAATTAGGTATACCCCAGCTATTGAAAAGTCAATAATCTTCCGAAATTACTAATATCCATTGCCATTGACAAACAATTTCTAGAGAATTGGACAAATCATGATTGAGGTAATTGTTAAGGAACTTCAACCCAAAAAAAAAAAAATCACTATCAGTTCAAGAGGTATGTATAATTTCGAAAGATGTATGGAATTCTACATATGTAGACTAAACAACCATTTGATTTTGTTTTTGCAGTGATCTTATGTTAGTGTATTTGCTTCTGTTGAATTGTTTGTCCATGCAGGCTTTTGTTGATGAGGTTATGGAACTAGTTGAGCTCACTCCATTACATAGAGCTCTAGTCGGCGTACCAGGAGTTAATGGCCTGTCGGTAGAACAAAGGAAAAGGGTGACAATTGCTGTTGAGCTTGTTGCCAATCCTTCTATTGTTTTCATGGACGAACCGACTTCAGGACTCGATGCTAGGTCAGCAGCCATCGTGATGAGAGCCGTGAGAAACATTGTTGACACTGGTCGGACAATCGTTTGCACAATTCACCAGCCCAGCATTGATATTTTTGAATCATTTGATGAGGTTTTCTATAACAAATTTTCTGATCTTTAATGAGGTCTGTCCCTGACCTGAAAGACTGATCTCTAATTATTTGTTTTAGCTTTTGCTGATGAAACGAGGTGGACAGCTCATTTATGCGGGTCCCTTAGGGAATAAGTCTATGAAGCTTATTCAGTATTTTGAGGTGAACTCTCGTTTTGAAATTTTGATTTTTATCATTTGACTGAAGTCTTGATCCTGTTAATCAGAGCTTATGGTATATATGTCTTCATATCTCATAGGCTATCCCAGGAGTTCAAAAAATAAGACCTGGTTATAACCCTGCAACTTGGATTCTTGAAGTTACATCTACAGCTGAAGAGAACCGCCTAGGTGTAGATTTTGCCGAAATATATCGCCGCTCAAATTTATTTCAGTAAGTGCTCATTCACTTTATTGGAACGGGAAATTTTGGTAGACCGTGTCTTCCTTTTAACACAGTATATGGTTTTATGTTATTTATTCGTCTGCCTTTCCTTTTCCTTCCTTTTTTCCCTTCTGATGTGTGTACGTGCATGTTTAATTTTTTACTCACTATTTCAGGCAAAATAAGGCTCTAGTTGAGAGTTTATGCAAACCAGATAAGGATACAAATGAGTTGACCTTTCCAAGCAAATACTCTCTCTCGTTTTTTGGCCAGTTCCTGGCATGCCTTTGGAAGCAGAATCTTTCATATTGGCGTAATCCTCAATATACTGCTGTACGCTTCTTTTACACAGTTATCATCTCATTGATGTTTGGAACCATGTGCTGGAAATTTGGTTCCAAAAGGTTTGTTCCACGAACTCCCTAACTCCAGTGTCAAACTTATTATTTTAATTTTACTTTTCGTGCATTCATTAGTACAAACACCCAACTACAATTTTATACAGAGATGTTGTATAATCTTGAAGGTGCTGTTATCGGCTTGAAAAAATGGGTAATAGACTCCAAATATTCATTCATTTTGATCTCACTGTTAACTGCGCTTAGGGAAACTGCTTGCTTCTCTTTCAACCTTGTTGTCTTCTGTTTAGTTATGCTATGATCATTTCCTTCTTGTGGTGCCTCCTTTACAGGGAAAACCAGCAGGATATATTTAATGCAATGGGGTCAATGTATGCAGCCGTACTATTTATTGGAATCACAAATGCGACTTCTGTGCAGCCAGTGGTTTTTGTTGAGAGGTTCGTTTCATATAGAGAGGGAGCTGCAGGAATGTATTCTGCACTACCCTTTGCACTTGCCCAGGTACATTCTCATCAGCCTTATTTCTCATATGATCCAATTAATTCATGGTGTATTGAATATTCTGACATTTTCCAAATTTTCACTAACTGCCCTTTTGCAGGTTGTGGTTGAATTCCCGTACGTATGTGTCCAGTCGCTTATTTACAGCACTATCTTCTATTTCATGGCAGCTTTTGACTGCAATGTTTGGAAGTTTCTTTGGCACGTATACTTCATGTATTTCACGCTGCTTTACTTCACTTTCTTTGGGATGATGACGGTTTCGGTCACGCCCAATCACAACGTTGCTTCTATTGTTGCTGCACCATTTTATATGATGTGGAACCTTTTCAGTGGCTTCATGATTTCACACATGGTAAATATGATCCCTCTATTGGTAAATACTCTATTAATCTTGGGGGTTAACTACAGATATTACCATTTAGGTTCAACCTTATTGCAAAAGTAAACACCTTTTTTTTTTTTTTTTTTTTTTTNTTTTTTTTTTTTTTTTTTTTTTTTTTGAAAAATTACAGTTATGAGTTAATCACTTTAACGTGTGGTTCTATAATACAAATTGAGCATCATCTTGATGGGAAAGCGCATACACCATTCTTTTAGATTATGAAGAACCTGTCAAGAATTTTGTAATTACCTCTCAAAGTCCATCTTGACTTGAAGGGGGCACTTTCGTATGATAATTTTTTGGTTAATCAGGTTAAGGTTTTGGGGTGGTTTATTTAGTTATACTTGGCAAATGCAATGTTTGAAGAAAACTATTGTCTCTGCGTATTGTAGTCCTTTAATTATTTTTTGTGTGGTCTTACATACTGTGTTCAGAGAATACCCATATGGTGGAGATGGTATTATTGGGCAAACCCAATTGCATGGAGTTTATACGGACTTCTAACGGCACAATATGGGGACATGAATGGACTGGTGAAGCTTACTGATGGCGTTAATTCTGTGCCCATAAAACAATTGCTCAAGAATCAGTTTGGATTCAGACATGATTTCTTGGGCATTGCCGGTATTGTGGTGGTCGGTTTCTGCGTGCTATTTGCCGCCACTTTTGCCTTTGCTATCAGATTCTTTAACTTCCAAAGGAGGTGATAGGAAATTATTATTTGGCATTTATACTTGTAAACATATCTGCTTAATGATAATAATAGAGTACCATTTATGAGTTCTATTACCTGCATCTTCATGTAACTTCTGATATAGAAACAAGTTTGTGTGTTCCACATGCATCTGTAGAACATGTAATTTTATAATATTGAAGCAAATGTTGACAGGGAGTTGCTGTTGAAACCAACAATAGTAATTTTTTGTTCATCTAAAATATCAAATTATAGTAGTGGTAAATAAAGTCGTGGACTTAAATAGAGAAGAATTGATACGATTATTTGTTAATGAAATAAAAATAAAAAATAAGCTTGGGCTGGGGATTAGGGGTTTGATAATTAGTTCTAATTAAAACAATGCAAGTAAAATGCAAATAATCGACCAACTAATGAGCGAGACAAAAAGGTTCAAATGAGTGGGAATAAAAAAAACGTAGAAGTAATGTAAATTTTTTGGGTGTAAGGGCCGAACTATTTTCCCAAAAACCTTTTCTTCCAAATCCGCTTGCGTAGTTCTTCCCGTCTGCCGTCGCCTCCTCTTCACAAAGATTTGTGCGGCCCAGTGCCGTACGCTGTTGTCCATGTCGTTCGCCCAACTTGGAGCCACAGATCTCCCTCGGATGCAGGTCTCGCTAATCTTCAAGGTGCCTTTATTGTGGTAAGGAGTACATGGGGTCCGACAGGTGGCGTCCGGAGGGTTTCGACCAGCCTCCTTGGAGCTGGTCGGGACTGAGGTATAGCTCTCTCTCTCTCTCTCTCTCTCCTTCTTTCGCCGTCTTTCTGGTTTTTGTGGTTCGGGTTGGGCAGTTGATTAGTCGTGGGCTGATGGTGGATGGGTGGTCGGTTGGTGGTTTGAGGGTCATTGGTGGTTGGGTGGTTGGTAGGTCGGGCTTGAGGGTTCAGTCGGTAGTAGTGTAGGGGATCGACCTTTGGGTTCAGCTCTAAGGGCGGTCTGTCTGGGAGAAGATTTTGGTCATTTGGCGCAGTTTCTGCTAGTCGTGGCTACACTCGAGTTTTTAGAGCAGTGCTCGAGCTAGAGTCCTATATGAGTTTGGCGCGGTTCCTGCATGCGTCTAATCATTTTTTCAATGCAGAGGCGCCAGGCGCCGCGGCGTAAGACCCCGTAGCGCCGTGACAGTCCGGCGAGCAGCAGACTGATTTGCGATTTTTTTTATTTTTTTAGTTTTGCTTTGTTAATTTATGTTTTCTGAGACTCTAGTTGCAAACATGGTATTTTCTTTTTGTTACAACTCTTATATTCTTCATTTTGATAACTTATGCAATAAGAAATCAAAACCACTCGCATTCGAGCTTCTCGTGTTAACCACGCCAACATCGCGGGTTTTCACAAATTTGAATAGTTCGATACAAGATTTTTATAAGAAAAACATACGACAGCTGAGGGCATCTCGAAACCCATACAGGTCCATCCACGAGGTATACATGCCGAGGTGGGCATCAGGGTTCGAGCTGCCATCATATAGCCTAATCTAGAGTATCTTAATCTTATTTGGCAGCGGATCGAGTTGGATGTGGGATGACTGGGGTGAGGCCGAGTCGATTAGAGGACTGTTTGCAAATAAGGGTGGAGGTGATGAGGTCCTATCGACTAGCTTTTGTCGACCTTCAAGCTCGGTAACCTTCTTCCTCAAAGCTACGACCTTGTTCAAGTCGTGTCTAGTGGAGCAGCTTTTTAGAATTTTGTGACTGAGGTCTAGTTCGACCTTTTTCTTCCCCAGGCAATGAAAAACCGACGGGTGGTAGATCTATTTTGGAGACTGGTTTCAGACCTAGTTTCCCCGATCTCCTCCCTTTTCATCTAGTCAATAATCTTGTTCTTCAGGTTTTTAACGCGGTTATCATGGGATTGTGAAGTATTTCTCGATTGGACATGTTCTTTTTCCTTGTGTAATGTAGGGTTCTGGTCTTTTCTAGCCGGAGTTTTCGACACATTTGATTTGATGTTGATGGTAAGATTTGCATCACGAGGCTAGGAAAACCTTTTATAAAATCTAGATTTTAAAACAATGATGTGAAGTATGTGGTGGGAGCTCCTCCATGGATCCGTTTAGCCCATATGATTCGTGCTGGTCTTTTGGCTAGATGACGACATTTTTCTTATTCTTCTTGCCGAGATGAGTGGTGTATCCTCAAGTAAAAGATTGCCTCAAACATTATGAGACATTTTCTCTAGCGCCAAACTGTTGCCCGTGAAATTTGAACAACGTGAATATATGAACTTTTTCTTAATTTATTTCGAAAAAAATGTGAAAATAAAAGAAAATGTGAAAACAAACATTATGTGAGAGCTCAAATTGTAAGTCAGCTCGGGTGGAACACCCTTTAAATGTTTGTATTTATTGAGAGAGAATATTCTTCTCACAATCCAATCTCTTATCTACCTTTTACAGGCAAAATACTAGGAGTATTCATAGTGATGTACACCCAACTATGTAGTACAATTTTCCATTAATAGAAATGATCGGTGCATTAAAGGCGACACGAGACCCTAGAAAGCTACAACGTGTACACTGACATATGAGTGACAGGTTGTCCCATCCAAAATCATTTGTGTGCAAGTTGTGATTATTTTATTGTTTTCTCTGAGCTGTGCGGTGGAGTCAGAAGGCCAGGAGAGTGTTTGGACCTCTCCATTTTAATGGTCTTCTGCTCGGTCGCAAACACCCAACCAGATCTTCCCTCTTTCCAGGCTGGTAACATTCTTTTAGGGATCCACATTCGGCTTGGGTGACAAAAACTACTTATACATCAAGATAACCTCGTGTGTCTATCAAGATAATTATGACGACTTCCGCATCAAATAATATTTCGTATACACCAAATTTTTTATTCAATATCCGCAATTATGCTTATGAAGATGCGTTTTCAAAAAAAATAAATAATTTCGAGTTTTAGTAAACAAAAAGAGTGAAAAAATTGATTCCTATATACAATGTATCTTTCTACATAATCTATTATATATATACTCTAGTTGAAATAAGTATCGTTCCATAGAATTAAAATTCATGCATTTGTCAAATATATTTTACATTAAATCTTGTGAAATAATATGTCTATTTATTTCTTTTCTAATAACTTTATCAGAATTACGATTTTGGGGTAAATTATAATAACTCTAATTCATTAAGATTAGTTATAAATAACTAAAATGATAATCTAAAATGCTAAATAGTTATAAATATTGTTTTTTTTTACTTAAAATGATATCTACTAATATATATATATATAAATTATATTATATAGTAATTTAAAATATTGTTGGTCAATTTTTGACTTATCTATACTTATATAAAAAGTCATCCCATTTATTAGAATTAGTAGGAAAAAAAGTCAACTCATAATTAATTGCACACCATATTTAGAAAGTGTTAGATATTTTAAATCATAAAATAGGGTAGCATTAAATGCCCCTAAAATTATGGGTTTTGTTGAATTTATGCATCCAAATTTACGTGTGGTTTTGAAGTGAAAATTTGAAATTCAAAATCTCTTCTCATTTTAGTTACAAGAAAATCGGACTGCATTCAACACTTGGATCAATTTAAAAATTATTCCTTAAATGAAGGAATTTATAGATAATTGTTATCTCTACTTAATCACATGATTATTTTCAATATAAAAAGAGACAGATTACAAATTAGTGAATCATATCTTACCTAATTCAATATCTTAACATTGAGGAATAAATTCATAGTATTATGTAAATCCGTATCTCATATTATTATATCATTAAGAATATATTATAGTTATATTATCAAATCATAAAAAGATATTACATTCATATCTAAAAAGAATAATTCATATAATTTTATAACAATTCTACTACGCTATTTAACAGTATTCCTTTTTATTATATAATAAAATAATAATTAAATATTATATAGTGAACAATAATAAGTAAAACTGTTATGGTAACGCAAAACACTCCGACCGGCTTGAAATCGGTCCGCCTTCCTCTTCCTTGCCGGTAGAACGCCGCGCACTTACACAGAACTCTCACACCGAAGGGGTTTTCCGGTGAAGAGCCTCCGATGCTTAAGTCAGTATGTGTTTGTTCAATTTTCAAAAGTAAAGAATGGATAAATCGTAAGTCACAATAAAAGACCCACTCCTATATATATAGGAGTGAGATACCTGCCCTAGGAGCTGCCCGACTTTTGGTGAGCTGTCCAACCCGTACTGCCCGTCCGTACACACATAGTGTGCGTGTGTTAGAGATGTCAGGGGAGGCTTTCGCCACTATCGCTCTGCACAAATGTATTCTTGCCACGTGTCCCTTTGAGCTGAGGGAGATTATTCTTCTGCGCAGGCCGTTGGGATCTTCTAACGCCATCCACGCGCTTTCTTGCGTTCAAGCCACGCTCTCGACTACTCCCCACCTGCTGTGTGCTCGATCTGATCGAGCCCCCCATCACTAGGTCGATCCTCGACCAGTTCTGCTATTCTGCTCGATCTCTTCCCTTTTGATCGATCGTCCTTCCACCAAGAAGGTTTTCTCTATTTTGAGCTTGCCCGACCTATGCGGTAGGCCGGTCTATTCCTTAGTCATATAATATCCCATATCATCTAGTCCCCCCCACTCTGGTCGAGTCTAAATGACTCGATCTAAGAGTGAATTCGAGTTGTCTTCTCCACTCTGCCAACCTCTCGATCTCCTATTTGCATCTGGCCGCCCCTTTCGATCGTTTTTTGTTGATGCTACCACCTTTCTTCGACCACGTGGTCGATTTTACAGTGCATTATAACTGCCTTTTATTTCTTTTTATTACCGGCGTGATTTCTGCCTGCCACATGTCCTTTCGGTTCAGTTCTTTTAATTATTGTGCCTCCTCGCGATTTGTGCCGCTTCGCTATCTGTGCCTCTTTAAGTTTTCCCACCGTTGGATCTTCTTTTATCTAACGGTCATCTCCCTTAACTCTTCACCTTATTCATCTGTACTCCCATAAATACGGCACTTAGCAAATTTTCGGGATTTTCTCACTTTTGCAAATCTTGAGCTTCCTTGTGCCCCACTTTCTTCCTCTGCAAATTGTTCTTCCCTGCTCTTGGCGTCTCCTCTCTTAGCAATTTCCGACAACCGCTCTCCACTGCAACCATGAGTAAGTCTCCTATACTTTAATTTTGTGTTCGCGCGCGTTTATTTTGTCAATTTGTGGGTTTTTCCTTGTTGCTTCTTCTTTCCCTCGAGACCTTCTCGTTTCCTCTGTGGAAAAATCCTCTTTCTTCACCATTCGAAACCCTAACCTTTCTTCTTCCCTCTCAATTTCCCTTTCTACTTTTCAGATTCCGTCGATTCTAATACGCAAAGCCATCACTCTGGTGAAGATGAGATCGCCACGTCATCATTCCCCGCTCATCGGCCTATTCCTCACTCGCCTTCCCGTTCTGTCGAAGAGATCTACAATCCCACTCCTCTCAGCATTTTATGCCCTTCCGATTATGCCACACCTTCTCCTCCTCGCCAACCTACTCGTCTGAATGATGAATCAGACGAGGATGTCCTTGACCACATCCCCCTCAATCGCCGTCGGCCGACGTTTGGGGCTTCTGACGCTGCGGAAGAGGCTCTAGATGCTGCTGAGGAGGATGAAGATAATACTCCCCTTTCTCACCATTCCGTTTTTTCTAAAGTTGTTCCTCCTTCTAACCTTAAGAAAAGTGCTCCAAAATCCTCGACCGCTGCCGCACCTCATGCATCTCCGGCTGCCCCTGTCTTTACCTCACCTAAGGCTGCTCCGATGAAGGGTAAGTCGACCAGAGTATCTTCTTCTTCTAAGAAGACTTCTTCCTCCTCTCGCTCTCTCATAGCTGGTTGGCTGGATGCCGAAGAAATTGGCTATCCTGCCTGCTGGGCTTTTGTATCTCCTGGCCCTCGGGATACCTATGATAACCCTCCTCAAAACTGCTACACTTTCTTCGAGATTCAATTTAAACTTGGCGTTCGATTTTCCCTTAAGCCAGGATTTGCTCGATCTTTGTAAGTGGTTCGACCTGCCCTTGAACCAACTTTCCCCTAATGCCATCCGTTTTATCACAATTTTCATCATCATTTGCCACATCCGTCTAGGTCGGCTCGACCTAGATTTCTTCCATTATTGCTACACACCCTCGAAACATACTCAGGGACTCTATCTTAAGAGTCGCCACGATGTCTATTTCATTTTGGACACTCCTTCCAACGTCCCCAAGTGGAAAGACAAATTCGCCTTTGTCGAGCTCAACCCCGCTTTCCTTTGGGCGCCGTCTCCTTGGCTCAAAGAACTCCCACGTGAGTACTCCACACCTTCAACCAACGCGCTCTTCGACCAGCGGATTGCAGTATGGAATAGCAAACCCGTCGCGTCGAAGACCCTGCTCGAGGATGAGAACCTCCTGCATTTCTGTGGACTTCTTACCCACAAATCTTGTCCTCTCCCTAGCTAGAAAATTTCGACCTCATCCAGATCAAAGATGACCCAGGTATATGTTGTCCTTGAACAGGCTCGAGCATCATCATGTTTGTTTCAGGTATTATTTATTTATTGTGGCATTAACTTGTTCGTAACTTTTTTGCAGAGATGCCCGCTATCCCTTTGCCTAAGCAAAAGGCTCCTTTGAGGAGGAAGCAAGCCGTTGAGGGATCGAGCTCGAGGACGGCTGACTCGATCACCTCCAAATCCACTCGCTTGACTTCACCGCCTCCAGAGGTGACCGTCGAGCAACCTTCTGCGACTAACCCTCAAGCTGACCAGCCACCCGAGCAACCAGAACAGCTCGAGAGATCAGCATCTCCTCTGCCACGGTCTCCTCCGCACAACCAGCCCACTCCAACTATTCATATTCCCGCCTCTCCCGAGAAAGCTATGCTCGAG